AGGGGGGATTGGAAAAAATATATACAAAAAAAAGGGGGGCTTTCAAATTATTTTTACAAAAAAGTGGGGGGATACCAAATTTTTTTTTTATCAAAGAAGCTACAAGAAATAACCAGGGCATACTAAAATGTCTTTATTTCATAACATAACATATGCTGACACAGTGGGACTTTTGCAGCGCATGAAACGAGATGCATTGGGTGTCACAGAAGAAGTTGTTTAATGAATTGACGACGCTCCGGCACTTGGAGAATTTATAGATGCTCGGAAATCTCCCCAAGAAGACGATCGGTTCTTTTTCAATAAAGAGTACGTACAGAACAGAAACGCCGACACTCCTGGGGCTGCCTACTTTCAGAAAGTGTGTGCCTTTTATGATAGTCATTATATTAGAGGAGAACTGTTCATGGAGTACGTAAAGGATTGCTGTTTCACCAGGACAGGGCAACAGTGCCAATTTTGTCAAAGTAATCCTTAGACAAGCACGGAGAAGTTCAAGGGGATTTCTGCTCCATATCCAGATACTACTAAACTGCCAAAGTTCAAATATTAAGATGTCTTTGAAACACCCCTTTATAAAGATTAGGTAAACAAAATTTTTCGTACTGTGGATGACTTCCTTCCAAGAACCCAACTGAAGATAGTGTTTTCTGCTGGCACAGTTTGTCTAGAATACCCAAATAGCATCAAAAAATTTTCCGAGAAATATATCTTTGAAGAAGATCATATAAGATCTTACGTAAACCATCTTTTGTGTCTTCAAAGGGCCAAAGATATCCGAACAAATCAAAGAAAACGGGATAAAGCCGAAGTAAAGAACAAATCATACGAAGATCATGACTGGATTGAGTTATCCTTATCTCGCGACACTTTAAGGAAACTAACTGTTAGAGAACTTGAAAAATATTTAACCTTTCATAAACCATCATTAAATGGTCTGAAGAATGACAAAATTACCCGGATAATGGCACATATCAACTTTTCAAATAACGGCTCCAACATGCATTCACAGTATAAGAGTGTTTCTCAGAATGACCACCAAGACGAAACAGAGAAAGGAGATGGTGAAGATGATGAAGAAGACAGTGAAGATGATGAAGAAGACAGTAAAGATGATGATAGTGATGACAAAATACTCGCTGTTTTTGGAAGTGACTCTGAAGATGAAGATTCTCATGAAGAAAGTGGTAAAG